ACACACACACACACACACACACACACACACACACACACACACACACAGTTGGGGAGATAACGAATTAGGCCGGCATGTCGGTGGCCTTTGGCCCTACAGTGTCAAGCATCGCAGAATTGCTTCATGCTTCATGTGCCTAAACCTAGCATAACGTTTCCACGGGACATGCCCGGTGCCACCTCTGCCAGTGACTCTTGGCGGTCATGCCTCTTAGACTGCCAGAGGTAGAGTGCTTGATCTCAAATCAGTGCTTGTTTGTCCCTGTCAGTCCCCTGTATGTCTGTGTGTATGAGGTACATGAGGAGCTATTTGGGAATTGTTTCTGTGAATGGGCTTAGCTTCTCAGGGATTTTAGGATGACTTTGAGAAGAAGTCTGGAAGTCCCCTGTTGCTGGGGATGTATCTTGAGAACACTTCGCAGCTCATCGCCATTCATGGTTAGATTTATATCAGTGTGTTGTCAGTAGTCACTGGAAGCAATGAATTAATCTTACTGTGATTTTGGTTCTCACATTGCTGTTTTAGGAATACGTGCACAAATGAATTTATGCCTAATCTCCCTGTTTTGTATCAAGGTATGGTCCTAGCTGAGATTGATAAAGGATTGGCTTTGGATTATCTTTAATGAACACATTTTTACTTAAAGTGGCCTGTCATATTTTCTTTGAAGTTACTCTAGCTAGTAAGAATCTTTCTAAAGACTGGGATGCTTTGAAGGGAGTTCATTTTTCCACATAGTTTAGGTAATTCCATTTACTAGATTTTTTAAAGCAAAGGTGAGAGATCCTTGAGCAAGGAGGGCCCAGGGAATAAACTGAGTGACTTCTGTGATCAGCTGGGAGAGACTGTGGTCATTTGGCCCTGAAAATAGAGCCCTGACCTTGCCGCATACCTTATCCAGCCCTTTCTCCCAGCCCCAATACGGTCAGTGCCTTGGGACACTGTGCCCACTCCAGGGCAGTAGCATGGTGAGGTTAGCCAGATGATGGCCTTGAGGTAAAGAGTGTGTGTGTGTGTGTGTGTGTGTGTGTGTGTGTGTGTGTGTGTGTGTAAAAGAGAGAGAGAGAGAGAGAGAGAGAGAGAATGATTTCTGCCTATGCTTTTAAGTTGCTTTTTCAGGAGAACCTAGTGACTGTTTTAAGAGTAAATTTACACTAATTAGATTTTCATAAAATATATACAGCTGTGTTATATAAATGCTAGTCTGATAAGTAATAACTTCACACTTATTTTTTCAAGAAAATGGATGATTTAAATGGAGTAAAATAGTTTGGTAAAGAGCATAAGTTAGACACTGAGTATCATGAAAGCTCAGCTGATGAGGCTTAGGGGAGCAGTGGAGACTGTCCTAGATGTCGACCGTACACACCCTTTTTCTTCCACTTCAGTTTCCACTGGCTCCCTTGCTCAGCAGTATGCGCACCCTAATGCTACCCTGCACCCACACACTCCACATCCTCAGCCTTCAGCTACTCCCACCGGACAGCAGCAAAGCCAACATGGTGGAAGTCATCCTGCACCCAGTCCGGTTCAGGTAAGGAGAGACTCCGAGGTCTTGTAGAATTGTGTCCTCATTTTGTTTACTGAGCGTTCTGTGCAGTGCGGGGCAGAATGCTCGGTACCACGCGATCAAAACACCCCGCAGCTCTGCCTCTTGGAGGCAGGCTGTGCTCCTGGGATTTGCTTTTTGTTGTTGTTACTGTTAAGTCCTGTTAAGATACATATTGAGAATAAGGTGATTGGGTAAGTTCTGGAAATATTGATTGAAAAATCTAATTTAACATCACATAAGGAATATGCTTGGGGCTTTTTTTTTTTTTTTTTTTTTTAACTTCATTACTGATGATTATACAATGAGTTTTTTTCCTGTTAGCTTCTGCAGTGGTGTTTGTTAAGGGAGCAGTTAAGGATCTCTTTGATACCTTTCAGTTCCCTGGGGCAGTGGTATTGTTTTACTTCTGCTTGGCTGAGGGCTATAAGGGCTTGCGCCCAGAAAGGAGTGTCTCTGAACCGGAGGTGCCCACCCCCCCCCCCACCCCAGCCATGCTCCTACTACCCTGCACATTCTCTGGTCCTTTCCACTGCCCCTCATCTTGGATGGACCCAGTGGAGCCTGCTTTCATATACAGAGTTCAGCTTTGTGTGTGACCTTAACTGCTTTTCATTCAAGAAGTGGTTTTCTCAGTTCTTTCTTGTGGCTTTGCAGCACCATCAGCACCAGGCCGCCCAGGCGCTCCATCTGGCCAGTCCACAGCAGCAGTCAGCCATTTACCACGCGGGGCTCGCACCAACCCCACCTTCCATGACCCCTGCCTCCAATACGCAGTCGCCACAGAATAGTTTCCCAACAGCACAACAGACCGTCTTTACGATTCATCCTTCTCATGTTCAGCCGGCATACACCAATCCTCCCCACATGGCCCATGTACCTCAGGTAAACCAGCTTTAGCCAACTTTCTCTGAAGACCAAGTAGAATATGAAGGTTATCAGATAAGCAGCAAGGAGCCAGATGCTCTGCAAGCTAGGAAACCCTGTGTGTGATGCCATTTGCCTGTCTCCCTTTTCCTGCTCAAATACATGTGATCTGGCCCTAAATGAATGTTCGTGTGGTTTTGTAATGGGATCAGTGAAGTTGCTGATTGGTCAGTCCTTTAATGTTTCCCATCTTAGACCTTAAAAATATCTCTGACTTTGGAATGCAACCCAGTCCTTCTTGTGTCTGCTTTGCTATGTTTATATAGCTTCACTGCTATGTATGTACACGTTATATATATGATATATATATTATATATATATATTTTATATATATATATATATTCTTCCTCTTCTTTTCTCCTTCCCTCCCTCTCTCTCCCTGTCTCTCTCTCTCTCTTACACACACACACACACACACACACACACACACACACACACACACGAGAAGTCTGGCAGGGAGGGTGGGCCTTCACAAATTCTCAGCTCTCCAAGGTGACAACCCTGGGCCTGTCAGCTTGAATGTTAGTCACACAAGTTTCGGAGAAATCTCTCCATTTGTTTTCCTTGCCTGTCGGTACACCCACTTTGACCATATGTTGTACTTCTTGAAAAGGCTTGGCCTTGTTACATTGGTGCAGTGTAACTAGAAGTTGGAAGCACTCAGGTGTCCCACTTTTCTTAAAGAGCAGCCTGGGAGCCACTTTGGAGCTCACCTCCAGTGTAAGCCTCTAATGGTTGAAGGGTATGGTTTGCCATCTCAATGGTTGCTGGCTGTATCAGCTGCTGAGAAAAGTCCAGTGCAATCAAGGGCCAAGTTGGATTATCTTAATAAGGAGCTTCACTGAAGTTGGGCTCTAATGCTGTCCTTGAGGCCCTCCCTGGAGCTGTTCAGAGTGAATTGGCTGTATTTGATGTCTTTTTTTGCCGCTTTCATAACAGAACTCTCTTGGGGAGGTCTAAGCTAGACTGCCTCACTGAACTCCATTTCATGTTGGATAGTGCACCACTGAGGCTCTGGTGTGCTGGGGGCTGAAGATGTGACTCAGTTGGAGCTCAATCTCAGAATGCGACCTTGTAACTAGAGTTCGACAGCTCTGGGAAGTTTGGGCGTCCTCTGCACAAGTGAGGGTTCTGTAGTATGGCGCACTGCAGTGGATGATTTGCTTTTGATAGTGGGGAGGGGAGCCAGTTTGGTCAGGTGTGGGCCAGCATGGTTTGGCTGAATTAGGAGCTTCATGAGAGCTGGGGTCCTGTAGATGGCTAGCAGAGGCTGGTGGCTAAGTAGGTATGTGAATTTACATGTAAGTTGGGGTTCCTAAAACCTCACTTTTGTGTTTTTTGTGCTGAAAGAGAAAAAGGTTAACCCCTTTGGGGAAGTTCAGATCTGCCATGGGCCCATTTGAATACGTAAGAGTAAAAAGAGCATTTCATTCAAGGCTTATTGTGGTCTAGAACAGTGCACAGTATGGGAGGCAGGAAAGGAGGGCTCTTCCTGGCCCTGCCAAGTCCCCCCCCCCCCCGCAGTCCCACTCCCCCCACCCCGAGCTGGGATCCAGTGATTTGGGCTGGCTGAAACCTTTCCAACTTGACAGTGAAACCAGGTTGTACTCGTTATCATATAACTTAGTTTCGGGACACAGGTCTGGCCCAGATAATTTCACTTTACTCCTCCCCGTTTCACTGGCGCCATTTACTGCAGCCTCCTCCTCCTGCTCGGTCAGCACGTCTTTCGCTGCCCTGACTCATTCTTCACGGAGATGTACTGGTGTGCCGGCAGGAAGCAGAGGGGAGGGACAGACAAGGAGAGGGCTAAGTAATCCATGGATTACTCTTATTATCTGCTTTCCTATTTAAAAGGGAGGTTGTCTTTAAACTACTTCAGGTCCCACTTGGAAGCCAGATTCTGAAGCATCATTGCATCTCACCTCCTATTAAGTTGAGAAAGCTGCCCTTGGATCAGATGTCTGAACTTTGTGATGACCTTGCCCCACATACATAGAATCCAGCACAGGCTCAGTAGGCGCCTGCTCCCTCAGCCTCCCTGGACCCGCTGAAGGGTGAAGCATGTCAGTAGGTCACTTGATGATCCACTAGGGCATGTGCTCAGAGAAAAGGGCCCTGAGGGCCCCCCTGTCGGCCTTTCCTGCCCCACCAGCCCAGTGAAAGGAACACAGTTGACATGTTGTTTAAGCTGGAGATGTTGCCTGTATGCGTAAAAGAGCTCTCTGTTTCAGGCTCATGTACAGTCAGGAATGGTTCCTTCTCATCCAACTGCCCATGCGCCAATGATGCTAATGACGACACAGCCACCCGGCGGTCCCCAGGCCGCCCTCGCTCAAAGTGCACTACAGCCCATTCCAGTCTCGACAACAGCGCATTTCCCCTATATGACGCACCCTTCAGGTGAGGCGTGTGTGTGCAGGGGCCGCCGGGCACCCCAAAGCATTCTGCTCGCACAGGTCGAATGGCAGGCAGGGCCAGCGCTTCAAGCCCCGCATTTGAGAACTAGCAAGACCCGCCAGAGTGTGCACAGGAGGGACTGTGACGATCAGTTCAGTGTCAGGGCCTGAGGCTTCCAGGAGCTGAGTCTGTGTGTGTTCTGATGGTATACAGGGTTTGGCTTGATGAGAAGCAGCAGCAGCATTCTGTGTGGCTGACGCATGCTTAGGACTCAGTTGGCCTTCCTTGTTAAAGAGGCTGGACAGGGCAGCGTTTTCCTTCCTTAGTCTCCCCCTCCCCAGTCTGACGGGGGTGGTTACCACCATGGCAGAGTTTGATTGTAGCTCTGGAGAATACTACTGATGAGAAAGTGTGCTGTGTGTGGATTGGTTTTGAGTGTAGCATTAGCTCCAGCCTATGCCCTGACAGGGAGAGAATGCCCCGTGATTGTGCTCTAATACTTGATGGCTGCCATGGCAATATTTCACAGTCTAACCTGTTACTTTGAAAGCAATACTGGTGCTTGGCTGGTATTTGGGGAGGGGGTATGTTAAGGCCTTTTTTTCCTACCCCGTGAGCAACAAGTCTTCTGGGAGTTTTATCTGAAGTGGTTTTCCATCTGACTGGTTTGTTTCTACCCACCCACCTGCCCCTTCCCCTTTTGGTGCAGATGGGAGGGGGAAGAGTGGATTAAATTTTGAGTCTTGTTTAGGTAGCACGAGGATAGTTTACAGTCGTGTGCTGCAGAGACACTAGGCTAATGTGTGGTGTTGCCAGTTTCCTGTTTAAATATTCACTTTTCTTTTTTACAGTACAAGCCCACCACCAACAGCAGTTGTAAGGCTGCCCTGGAGGAACCGAAAGGCCAAATTCCCTCCTCCCTTCTACTGCTTCTACCAACTGGAAGCACAGAAAACTAGAATTTCATTTATTTTGTTTTTAAAAAATATATGTTGATTTCTTGTAACATCCAATAGGAATGCTAACAGTTCACTTGCAGTGGAAGATATTTGGACCGAGTAGAGGCATTTAGGAACTTGTGGGCTGTTCCATAATTCCATATGCTGTTTCAGAGTCCCGCGAGTACCCCAGCTCTGCTTGCTGAAACTGGAAGTTATTTATTTTTTAATGACCCTCGAAAGTCATGAACACATCAGCTAGCAAAAGAAGTAACAAGAGTTGATTCTTGCTGCTATTACTGCTATAACTTAAAAAAATAAAAAAAAAAAAAAAAAATCAAGACTTGGAACGCCCTTTTACTAAACTTGACAAAGGTTCAGTAAATTCTTACCGTCAAAATGACGGGTTATTATTTATAAATCAAGTTTGATGAAGTGATCACTGTCTACAGTGGTTCAACTTTTAAGTTAAGGGAAAAAACTTTTACTTTGTAGATAATATAAAATAAAAACTTAAAAAAAATTAAAAAATAAAAAAAGTTTTAAAAACTGATACCAAGTTAGTGTGTGTTTGTACAAGCTTAAGATGTTTCTGTTATAGGATACTTCATATCAAGGCAGGAGGGCTGAGTGTACTTTCTTAAATCCTGGAAGGTTAGTTGTCAAATGACTTTTCTTCTTCACCTTTAGTTCTGGTTCAAGGTATCTCTAGAAAAAGACAAGACTGAGACATTCTCTTTGGTGGATAAAGGTCCGCTCCAGAAGGAGGAAGGCTGGCCAGAGCTGGGCAGCACTGAGATCCCACATCCTCAGCCTGACGCTGGTTCTGTAAGCTTCCTTTTTAATATCTCCTGAACCCAAATGAGTGTTGTTAGTCACAAGTCTTCCTGATTCACCCATCTTTTACCAGTAGAGGGCAGGAGACACTGCTTAAAAAGAAACTGATAAATCCCGAGAGCTGAAAAGCAGTGATGCACAAAGTACCTTATTGCTGTAGATTCACGAGCATTTGCTAATGTTCCAAATTTGTGGGAGGAGGACAAAGGGAAAAGCAAGTAGTTGAGCAGAGCAAGGGTCTTGCAGAGACCACAGTCCTGTTATAATAGAGCTTTAAATATTGTGGCAACAAATCAAGATTCTGAAAACTTTTTTTAATTCGTGTGTAGCAGTTTGTACATTATAGCAAAATCTGCATTATTCAAGAATAAGTTACTTGTACAGTACATAAACAATACATAAAAATTTGCCAAATACTTTCTGCCTATGATGATACAGAATGGATCCATTTACTCTGTCATTATAATGTGCTGCTTATTCCAAGCAAACGCTGGATGTCAGATGTGTCCTTGTTAAGAGGCAGTGGATACTATACTATCAAGTTCCTCTAGCCTGTGGGAGATGTTGGAGCTCACATGACGTGTGCGATAAGAGATGTAGCCCTGAATTAAAAGCGTGAAGGAATCCCAGGCAACACTTAGGGAAGAGTTCAAGGCCTTGATTTTAGGTTAAAGAAACTGTTATGTAAAAATAGTGTTCTCTGGCCTAAGATTTTAATGATTGCTATTCCTTTTTCCTACACGGTCCAGAAATGATCAAAGGCAGAAGATTTATACCAGATAAAGCCATATGGATTGCTGGTCTAAAATTCAAGGCAGGTTAGTTGACTTAATTCTTTGGTGCTGGTGACTATTAGTTTGTAAAAGTTGATTCAAGACGGAAGAATGAAGTGATGGTGCTGGGAGCAGTCAGGCTATCCTTGTTGTTTGTGATTGGAGATAACTGGAGGGTCATGATGCTTACCGTCCTTTTGGCACTCAGAGCCTGGGCTCCCGGTAGGGGCTGTTGGTTCCTCGCTGCCAGCAGCGGTCACACCAGGGCCAGGAGGAGGAGGGTGGTGGGATATGCTGTGACCACGATGGGCTGGCGGGGACATTGGCTCATTGGCTGTGAAGGCATCAAGCCCAGGGAGCCTTTCCCTTGAGCTGAACCTGCTCTAGCAGAAAGTAAAGGCGTTGGCTCAGTGTCACTTCTTCCCAGGCCATGAGGGGGCTTTTTTTTCAGGAGGTATTTGAGCTGTCCTGGCAACTCAGACATGTTTAAAAAGGAAGCGTTTTCCTTGAACACTTTACACCGAAGCAGTCTAGAGGTGGGTGACTCCCAGTTATCTGTCACGGAAGTCTGATCTTGTCCTTTGTAGCCAGTGGGTCAGAGCTGCTGGTTGGCTGTGCCTGGCTTGCCTCCTGGCATCAACCTGAGAATTGTATGGTGAGAAGCTAAGGAGTGAGTGCCCCTACGTTAAAGAGGTCACATCCCAGATGTTTACACTTCTGGCTACAGGGAGGGGAAAAACTTGGGTTGTTGGCTACTTGGCCCCTTTCCTGTACAGACGAGGGGAAAATCTGTACCAGTGACTTGTGAGCATTGACTTTCTAGAATGAGCTTTCTCTTTTAAAAGAGAAATAGGAACAGTGCTTACTTTTCTGGATCACACCTCACTTAGCATTCATTACTTAGAGAAACATGCCTTGTGTAGAAAAGGAAAGAAAAGTGTCCTTAGAAACAGACCGCTCATTTGGATCAGGAATGGATCTGCTTTGCGATCTGTGAAAACACTCAGGAGGATTGGTTTTTAAAGTGGTGAAGAGGGACTGCTCTCCTCCCCCCCCCCCCCGGGGGTTGTTTTTTTTTTTTTAACAGAAGTCTGACCTCCGGGAGCACAGAGAATGGCTAGAGGGAGCAAACCAAACCCTCACCCCAGATAAGGCGGGCAGTAGTTAGTCGTAGGCCAGGGTTTAAATTTAGTTTCTGAGTGATGTGTCTATAAATGTTAAGTTGTGCTAAACTCTCAGTTTCCTAGAAGCCAGCCTGGTGACTGTGTCAAATGTCTCTGCTGGCACCCAGAGCAGCTGGCTCCACTCTGTCACTGCCCCCTTGTTTCTGAGCCTCCGCCTGAAAGTTCTGGGAGGAGCCAGCCCCCCTGTGAATTCTATCCCTGGTGAAAGGCAAGTATAGATGGAGATTTAACTGCAGGACCCCACCCCCCAGCTGTTGGAGATGTGCGCCCAAGTGTGTACGCACACACATTCCTCCTCAAATGAAGCAGCGAGCAGCTGGAACGGAACACTGAGTGTGGGCTGTTAAAGGAATTTCTCACTAGTTGTGGCACCAGATTTCCTAGTTCCCATTTTGACTCAAGAACAAGCCCAAAACCTTGCGGGATAGTTTATGAGCCAGCCGTTAGATGCTTGGGGGGGGGGGGGGGGAGGGGAGGGGTCCGAGCCAGCCCTGGTGGTGAAGGATTTTTTAGAAGAAAGGGGCCAGGAGCCCTTCCTCCCTTTTTGCTTGCTCCTCCCTCGCCCCTTATCACCCCTTGGGTAAACTGGTTTAACCATAAAGCTACTGTAAACCAGAATCCAGTTTTTTTGTTCGTTAAGGCACCAGGGTAGAATTCCTCCTTGCCACCCTGTTTCAGTAGTTGCCTGAATTTCCCTGAAAGGGTGACGTACTTCACTTCTCCACATTTAGGAAGGACAGTGGCTACTCAGCAGCAGGTGACTGTCCTGAGGATGCAAAAGACACAGAAGCCAGGCATGCTGGCTCAGACTGGGAACAAGTCAAGTAGGGTTTGCATAGCTGTCTCAGACTGCAAAATCGCATGAGTATTAAAGAGTGCAACAAAATAAGCAATGGTTTAGTTTTGAAACCTGAATCCTTTGACAAGTTAATCTGAGGTAAAGTGTTTAAAATCATTTTAACCTTGAGCTTTGTCCCGAAGCTGAGTCGGAGCAGGATTGATGCGTTCACCTACGGCACAGGGAGTGGCAGGCCTCCACGTGGACCGAGGCCACAATGGGTAAACCGTAGGCGAATCCAGGGCTTGTTAGTGTTTTGGGCTTCCTGATGACCCTCCCACCCCCCCGAAAGTCTGTCATCAGCTGTGACAGTGTCAGTGAAAAAGAGAACCAAGGTTCGGCCTGCCAGATCTGGCCCTCACCCCACCACCTCCTATAAGAGGGATGGGGACCGGTCCTAGGGACCCAGGGTGGGAGCTCGCGGCCTCTGCGAACAAGAACTACATCTGTAAACAATAAGGAGAAAGCCAGGTGATGGATGGATAAAACTTATAGGAGGCCCTTCAACAGGCCTAATAGAAGGGTCACATCCAAACTGGAATGAGCAGTTAACAGTGGCCCTTAAATCTCTCTCTGGAAGGAAGGAAAGAAGGTTACATTCACGAGTTCACATCTCCGCTTGCTTGTGCTCCTCGGGGGCACGTGTGAGGCCTAGGGTTCCTCACCGCCCGTCAGAGAGGCGTGTACTGGTTGTCTATGGCCCGGAGATGGCTCCGGGAGGAGGAGTCCATTTCGTAGTCTGAGTCCCGGGCTCGACTGGTGGGTTCAGGCTCCAGGTGCCGCAGGCTGTTGGCCAGTTCCTCAGGTGAAGGCACCAGGTGGAATATCTGCTCTGGGGGAGAGGATCGGCCTGGGAGACCCTCCGGCCCCAGCCCCCGTGGACAGCCAGAAGAACTGAGATGGGGAAGGCCCAGCTCCGAATCCCAGTGAGCGAGGGAGAAAGGGAACAGGACAGTGCTGGAGGAACCTGGGGGACAAGTGACCAAGAGAGAGACCGGCGCTGTCAGTCTTATTGTGACAGAGGGGCTAAATGTCGAAAGAACACAAAACCATCGCTGTGGCTCTGGGTTGCAGCGAGCGTTTACCCTCTGCCGCCCACCCCCTTTATCAAGGGTCACACCTGGTGGCTGGGAGACGACTACCACGTAGCTGGACAGGCGGACGTCACAGGCAGCACCGCACTCAAGCGGGATGGGCGAGCGCTGGAAGTGGTGGAGCATGTCCACGACAGAGGGGAAGTGGAGGTGCTGCACTCGGCACTGGCCCCGCTCGGTCAGCGACAGGCGCAGGTGCTACAGGGGGCGAGTACAGTAGGCTCAGGCACTGGCCGCTGCAGGCCTTCAACCTGGGGGCAGGGGGACCAGCCCGCCTGCCGTGCCCCATACCTTGGCTATGCCTTGGAAGTTGAACGTGAGCACATACTCTCCGCGCCGTGTCTCACTCTGCCGCACCAGGAACACTCCATGAGCATCCGGACCCTGCAGCTGAACCAGCTGAGCTGCCTTCACTCGGGAGATGGGGCCATGGAACCAGGGGTAGCAGGACAGGAAGTGATCTGTTTTCTGACAGGTTGGGTCCAGCAACCCCCCAGGAGAAGCACCTGGTAGACAAGATGGGGGATGATGGCCCCCTGTGGGTGCCTGATGTCCTGGGCTAAACTGGTTCTGACTTACATGGAGGACAGAGGCCTAGACCCACTCACCTTGGTTCAGGGAATCTGTGCTCCCCCCCGGAGAGTTGGATGTGCCAGGCTCTAGGGCTGAGGGAATATGCGTCTCTGGGTCTGTGCTCTCCAGCCTGCTGAAGAGGCTGAGGTTAGGATCTGGGTAGATCGGGGGAGCAGGAAAGGCTGTGCCAGGAGTAGAGCCCTATGTTCTGGGGCCTCACCCTTGGCCTGTGCACTCCCGGAGCTCAGCCATCCAGGAATTCAGCTGCTGCTCGTCCTCCACCTCGAAGATGATGTCAGTCCGGTCCTTCACCTGGTAGGGAGGAAAGCAGCGAGTGTGTGGGTGCCTCAGGTGTGTGTATGTATGACACCCCCCCCCCCCCCCGGTGTGGAAAGCTGTCACTCACCTTCAGGACAAAGGTGTAGAGGTTGTCTGGCATCTCGAGGCGTGTGCATCGCCGGACCTCCTGGATATTGGAGCAGGTTGCCTGTAGCTTGGGCTTTGAACTCTAGGTAGGAGACCAAGGCGGACACTTGAGGTTTGTCCCTCACGGCCCTTCACCCACCCAGGCCTCTGTGTGTTTCTGCCGTCTTCCCGGGGGCTTAGCTTCCAAGTGAGCACTCACGATGCCAGGCCTGGGGAAAGGCCTAGCATCCTGGTTTGCAGAAGCCTGCCGAGGGCCCTTCTCCCATAGCCTCTTAAACACTGACTTCACCCCCTAAACACTGCGACCTACAGAAACCAAAGTGCGATGAGGGCCAACGCCCTCTTGACCTGAACCTGTGGACACTCCAGCTGTGACATGTGTTTGCCTACTGACATCGGTCTCCCCTTCCACTGGTGGAACAAAGAGCACCGAATCCAGCCAGGTCACATCAAAACAGACCTGGAGAGTGGACACGAGGACATCCGATCCAAGTCACATTTCCCTGTGTGGTGCTGACTGCCAGGGGCTTGGGTGATCATCCTGCCTTTAGCTTCTCCCCTCTGCCCCGCGTCAATTCCCCATTAGTGCAGGCTTCTGACCAAACATCAGCCATAGGAAACCCATGATGTCACCACATCTTTTTTTTTTTTTTTTTAATATTTTTTCAATGTTTTTATTTATTTTTGGGACAGAGAAAGACAGAGCATGAACGGGGGAGGGGCAGAGAGAGAGGGAGACACAGAATCGGAAACAGGCTCCAGGCTCCGAGCCATCAGCCCAGAGCCCGACGCGGGGCTCGAACTCACAGACAGCGAGATCGTGACCTGGCTGAAGTCGGACGCTTAACCGACTGCGCCACCCAGGCGCCCCATGATGTCACCACATCTTAAAGACAAGAAACACAATTTCTTGGAGGTGAAGTCATTTGCCTGAAAGAGGGTAGATCGGTTTTAACCTCTGTCCACAGCATACAGCCTAGAACCTCAAACTCCCACATCTGCCTGCCTTCAAATCTGAGGATGAGGAGGGGTGGGTTTGGCTACAGGGTGTGGGGGCTGGGGGAGGGGTAGCAGAGTAGCTTAGCCACAGGCTCTTAGGGCCTCTGCCAACATGCCTAAAGAGGCAAAGCCTAATCTGGCCCCAGTTACAACCAGCTGGAAACTGACACAAAACCTTGGGCCCAGGAGGCTCCCATGACCTCCAGCATACACAGGGATTCAGAGTGCGTGCGAGGTGGTCCCCTACTGCTTTGCCACCAAGAGCACCTTTTCTGACTCAACCTGGCAGGAGCTGACCTTGGCAGATGCCTGTTTCCAGGGAGCCAGCATCTCCTCCTCTTCCCTTTGTGATCAGACTGATGAGATTGTTTTTCCAGGGTCACGAGATGATCAATGGCTGCTCCCAGCACAGGCCAAAAGCAGATGAGAACGAAGGAAGAAGGCAGAGATGATGGGGGAATTGATGGGAAAACCCAACTGGGCCCCTACCTCCAGTACCTCTTCTCTTCCCCTGGGGCCAGGAGACATCCAGGTGACCAGGCTGAGCAAGCCAGCATGGGGCAGAGGCAGAGAGATGGAAACGAGGCAGGCCCAAAGGCTAGTTTTTGGTGCTGTGGCTTTGAGGGGAATCCGACCTCCACATCTCAGGCAGAAGTTACCTTTTCAGAAAGCAGGGCAAGAGCCCATACCCACAGCCGTGCGTGTGACTGCTTCAGACATGCAGGCACCAGGAGTCTCCGATAGAAGGATGGTATCTTTAGGGCCAGGCCACCTGCCTTCAGCCCCTCCCCACCCGCTGGAGCACTGGTGAACAAGGAGGCAA